ATGTTTATGGCATGTTACACCTTAAATACAGGGGTCAAAACTTTTTGTATATGCTAAACAGTACTATCCTTGATACATTTGTTTTAGATATGTAAAAATTAAGCTTATAAAATTGAAGCTAAGTATAAAATTCTGAACCAAGAAACAAGCATCCCACAATTCCCTGTATCATAAACAAGGGAGGGCCTACCTATCACTGAGGGCTTATCTTGCCTAATTCATCTTAATTCAGCAACATCATCAAAAGTGTCAATAATTAATAGTAAGAGAATGGATATTTCTTAGCCCTTGCTGATTTAAATAAGCTGATTTATCAAAAGTTTAGATTTTGAAAAATATTTGTAGATATAATATTCTCTCATCTGCAATGTTTTTCCAGTATGATCAGTAGTGTTTGTTGGGGGTTTTCAAATGCACAATTTTTCAAAAACATTGTCCCAAAGATATTTCCAAAACACAACATTGGAGAATGGGGTGGAAAGAACATTTTGATGTTGAAGTCCTTGACATCATTGATTGCGATCTAAACAAGAGCTATTTGATTCAATATACTAAAAAGGGCGTTACCCCCCTTTTCCGAGCATCTATAGGGTGTGGTTGTGTGTAATTTTCCTGGGGGCTATGCCCCCAGACCCCCATCCCCTTTCTCTCCCATACAAAGCATGACCATTTACTTAAGGCCAGCTTCGCCACTGAGGATGAGTGGATTATACATTTGCAAACAGTTTTTCCAAACAAATCAAGTCAGTTGGTTGAGGAAATTGTTTTGTCATCAATGACCTTAAGTGAGGCTGCTGAGAGTTTATGTGAGGAAGAATACCAAGAAGCACAGCCAACAAACACAAATTTGCATGAGATTTTGCATAGATTAGAGAAGCACATCAACGTTCCTGAGTATACAATTACCATTGACAGAGAGGAAAGATGGAGGGGTGCTTTTGTGTGATATTTAAAAACAAAGAGAGATTGGATGCTGGAAGAGATGATCCTTCTTCATATTGGCCAGTTATAAACTCATCTCACTGGCCAATTACAAGGAAAATTACTGATGACAACAAATGTTTCTTTTTACAACACCTTATTGAAAATGAAGTGATTCTGTCAAGAAAACACAAGATCGGACAGTTTGCGGAGGGTCTTAATACTCTCGGCCTTCTTCAAATGTTAAAGAAACATCCTGAAGTTTGTAAAGACTTGAAGTGTCATATCCTTAGCCAGGTCATTACACCAGAGATTTTTCTTGACCAAGTCAGCTTAGAGGAGCCTGAAGATTATACACAAAACAATGTCAGAAATGGTTTATTTCATAGGTCAAGTCTGCCACACACAAAATTGCAAGATCTCCTACAGTTCATTACAGGTCACAGGTCAGTGCCTCCTTTTGGTTTTCCACACAAAATATTCTGATGACGATGAGGCTGTACTTTCTACAGCCACTGCATATCTTGGTATTCTTCATCTGCCAACAGTGCATTGTTCAGAATCAAAGTTCATGGCAAATATGGATATTTCACTACTCTTTGAAAGCTAAGGGTATGCTTGCTCAAAGCAATCCTCTGAACTTAAGAAATAGGCACTTATGCATGAAGTAATAGTTTGGTTAAGTTTTATTTTAATCCAAGAAATAAATGTTGTTTAAATTATTTGAAACAATTTTGTATTTGCAAGGAAGATATCTCTTAAAAACCTGCAAATATAATATGCCACTTTTTTTAGAATTGAGACCCCCTTTTCTCCTGGAGAAGTCCACATTAATATGACAAAATCGACACTATTTAACAAAATTGAAAAATTAGTAAGCATTAAACTTTCTACCCCTGAACCCCCGCTTTCTATCAAGGATCTTAGAGTATGGATTTACTCATAACAAGAAGAATTCTTGATAATTTGTCAGAGTTATTAAGAATTTTTGTTAATTCTCGCCATGTTTTTTTGCACATTGCCTGTACTATAATTCTGTATTTTGATTATCATAATAATGTTTTGTAAGTGAAGCAAGTACAAAATTCTTATGTTGAAAAGATAAGTTGAATTTACTTTACTATTTTTAAAACTAAAGATGAAATATCATCCACAAGCTTCATATATATGTCCATCCCAAACGAATCACTTTCTTGAAGTGGATTGCATTGCTCAATAAATGTACCATCTTCCAGATCAAGTGCAACTTGTGGAACATTGATGCCTAGGCCCTCTTCCATCAGTTCCCCATCCCACTCACTGCTTGGTGTTGGCCTTGCCAGTCAATACCATAGTATGCTGGGTCAACCTTTGGGTGGAAGTTGAGAGAGAATTCAATATGGTCATTTGTAAAAAATGAAGGAAGTGTTATTAGGGAGGACTATTCCACATAGGATAACTCACAAAAAGCCGGGTACTATCGCCTTGACGTCAGTAGGACTTTAAGGTTCTTAATACCTGTTAAAGTCAGCTCATGAGACACAGTCTCCTCAACACCACACCACTTGTATCAGAACCTGGGGAGGCATACCATTGAGGTGCAGTCAGTTTTATGTTCTTACAAATGAGTTTCTATACTACTATTTGATGGCAGTATATGTATTGCTTACACTTTAAGGTGAGCTTTGAAATTGAATTTTGATGATCTTATCTTTGGTCCTCTTAGACCCTGACTGGGTCTAAGAGGGCCAAAGAAAGCCCACATTTGGCGTCGCTGTTGAAAACGAAGGTAGCACTCAGCATCAAGTCCATGAAATGAAAACCAAAAAATCTGTTTTAATTGACATAACAAATTGGAAAAAAGAGCACAGGCCTTTTGGAGATGCACTTGTCGGTCCAACTGGTCAGGTTCTTCTGGAACAGTGTGCTTTGGCTGAATTTGAATCCAAATTTGATTACATGTCAAAACGTACGTGATGAGTTGATGATTACTTTGTAAATATCAGCTAAAATAAAAACATCAAATAATAAAAACTTTGTACATCAAATACATAAAAACATCAAATATTTTGGCAGATCCCAAAAGACTAGCTTGAATATATATATCAAAACTCATAAAACCAAAGCATTCCTTTGTCTGCAGTGAAATGTTTCGAATCCAACATGTTTTTATATCAACCAGTTTATAGGCTTTCAGCAGTTTATAAACACTATAAAGTGAGTCCATCAAATCTAACTCAGCCTGACCATCACCTTAGCTTCCGTTGTATGCCGGAATGGCTAATGAACACTTTCTTTGATCCAGAGCACGAGCGCCACCAACTGAATGTCCATCAATAATATAGCTCTGAGAACGTCAGAAAAATGGGATGCCTCAACAATTTGTATTTATTGGATTTTTTGAACAGCCATTGAAGAGCAGAGAAAATTTCGAGGAGGCACTTAAGAGTGTGATGAACTCTGCCATTAAAGAGTACATGTCTAGATGTGCAGTTGTAGTCCCAGGAGATTGGCCAGTGCATTTTTACATCCGCCAGACCGAATACTCTTGTCTGAATTCGAAAAATAGTTCCAAGGTTGAAAAAAGCTTTATTCAAAACCAGTTAATCCTGATCTGAAATAGAAATCAGAGAGAACTGAAAACAGAAATACTGAAAATGAATGTTGAAGAGAGAAACATCCGAAAAATTGATCTCTAGTAACTTATTCTAATTACAAGACTCACATTTCCTGTTCAGTTCATTAATTTTCAATTTCACTATATGCAATACACTCCAATATTAAACAACATACACAAATATACAACATAATAGTAATCAAAAACTCTAAAAGACAGATGAAGAGAGCAAGGTATAGCACTAGAGTTTTTTTGGAAGCATGAGCACTATTTGATAAGAGCAGCACCCTTCCCGTCTCATAAAAATAATAACAAATACCATATTTTGTATAGCTTTTCTATGCTTGTTGAGCATAATAAACTTATCCTGTAGTAATTCGTGTTCCAAACCAAATACAATTAGATCAATAATGATCACATAAGCATCCATCTCACGATCGAATCACCCCCTGTGCATGACAAACTCAAACTTCATCAACGGCCTCGTCGAATTTAACCTGCTAATTTGAAAAGTACCTGCGTGCTGTCTGGATGATGGGATAATTGATCCTGATGTAGACGATTGATCAGAACAGATGATAAAAGATTAGCAAAGACCCTCAATTGGTTTGATTGAAATTAATGTCCTCTCCATTTACCAAGGAAATCAATGAAGGTTTGAAAATCAATTCAACATAATCAATTAATCTCTTTGCGCTACAGAAGAACCAATACTACCATTCGAATCGCTTCTATGTGATCTTTCAGTTGATGTTATTCATTTTGATGTGCCATATGTATTCAATCAAATACTAATTCAAAAGTCTTTAAAATTGAAGAATATGACGTTACTATGACATCAAAGCCATGCCCAATGTAGAAAGTTACAACCCAAGAATATGCCCCTTGCTGATCCCTTCAATATGAGTCTTTGGCCCCTATCATACTTCATACAGTTTCATATAGGAATAAAGCCTAGAAATACTAAATGGAGGGCTGGGTCTCATAAACATAGCAGTAACATGGTCCTTAACCTGTTGTACACAGTTCAAGAGCTACGGCAGTAAAATTTTGACAATAAAACAAAAAGTGATTGAGGGGGGGGGGGTCTAGAAAAACAACGGCAACAATAATGTAAAACACCTTGAAAACATAATTTCATTAAGTAAAGCCACAAGGAATATATTTGATTTGGTACAATTGGTTTCGTTGTGCTATTTACACTTTATGAAAAATTTATTGAATGTCCTAATTTTTTTTACTTTCATGTAACAATGAATTCACAGCCACGCCTAATCTAAAAACTAACCACAATATAACCTCTTAGATTCCCTTTTTTCAAGCCTAACAAAAAATCATTGGTC